CGGCACTTGATATTAGTGACGATGTTCATCAATTTTGACTAAGTGTACCTGGCGAAGACGGGACTCACGCGGTTGTACTTCAGTAGGCAATAGCATGTTGTAAAATCGTTTCATTACAAAGGAGTTCAAACGAAGTTTTGGAGACTGCAAAATGGAGCCGATATGAAAAACCCATAAAACGTTTTTTGAAAAAAAATGACAGCAAACGTGTTTTGATGGCTATTATTGGCAAGAAAATCGGGGCTTTGATGCTTACCCGAATGAGTAAAGGATAGCGGAGTATGACAATTTTAAAGCCAAGAAGAACACCTCAAGCTAGTGATCGGGTGAGATTACACTTACCATGAACTTCAAGGTAAATATCCGAACTGGAACCAGAGAGGAGACACGTCCACTTGCCTCTATCAGTCCAACTAATTGATTTAATGTGGAAGAGGTACGTTTGGGTGGAACTGTTAATGGTATTACTTTCCGGCTCACATGTGACTTCGTACTTATCAGTATTGTAGGCCTTGCAATTCTCAGCCTTCATTGTGCCATTTTGCAGGAAGATGATAGAAAGATTGGTCTGATGAGCGAATCGCGAGCTGACTGTGCAACGCAAAGTTACCGACTGACCGATCAGAACGGGCAGATCACCACAATCGGAAGTCAACGTAATTTCGGATCGAGCGAACACTACAAATGAGGATAATTGGAGGTGGCATAAGATGTTATCAAAAAGAGTAATGAGCGCTAGTGAATGAATTGCAGAATAGCCAATCAAACGGCACTAAAAGATACCAAGATATGTCGGCAAATTCGAAATTAATATATGGTATGATTAAAAGTAAATCTATACAGAAACCAACCAACAAAAATTTTCATAAATTGTAAAGTGAAAGTCATCAAAAAAGTATTTGAGGCAGCTTGAGTCGAAGGAATGAAAGGCCAGAGAAAGTCGAAAGATTAGGTGAAAGGAAAGGCAAGTTCAGAAGTAGCGTAAAATAAAAAATGCATTTATTAGTGCGAAATCAGTATATCAACAAATACACTCCAAAGAGTATAGTGGTTTAACTACAGCGACGTAGCTGAATAAATAGACAGCGATGAGGTAGCAGCGGAACGAAAGTATTTAGTAAAAGGTTTGGAGCATGAACTGCTAGCCAAGACCAAGAACAAAGGTCAAATTAA